GGGTGGGGGGGAGGGCCGCGAGAAACGCCGCAGACAGGGCCACGGAGCTTGAGAAAATCTCAGGCAGCTGGGACCTGGTTCCAAGCTGGAGTGCGTGCTCTGGGCCTCAAGGCTACCTCCACAGCACCTCAATGCACTCGCAAGGCGGGATGCAAGCGTTCCACCTGACCAGCATCCCCCACATCTTCCTCCCAAACCTGCGTGAGCTTGGCCAGCTGCTCCACCCCTTCGTCCCTGACGCGACTCAGCCCCAGGCTCAGCGCACGCAGAGGCAGGCGCGCCAGGGCAGCCAGGCCGCGGTCGGTGATGCGGCGACAGCCGTACAGGTTGAGACTGGCGAGCGCGGTGTGGCCCTAGAGGCAGGGTGAAGGGCGCGGGGCCAAGGGCATGAGGCGATGCGGAGAGATGTGAGCTAGCAGAAGCAACCCCGAGGAGGATCACCCGGCAAACAGTGACGCAGTCGCTGTGGCGGAATCCGTAAAACCGCAAGCCCACCGGCATCTTTGTCAACGCTCTGCCACTAATATACTTCGCTCTGGCCCAAACCGACCTTGTCCTGCGCGGACAGACGCACTCATGGGCAAGAGAGCGTGCGAGTGCGCGCGCGCACTTCCACCCATACACCCCCCCCTAACACACACACCCCTGCACACAAACACTATCTCTTTCTCTGTTTCACTTCCACAGGCAATCACACATCGACATTCGAGTGACTTGCTCACACACACATACACACACACACACACACACACACACACACACACGCACCTGCAGCACCTCCAGACCGCTGCTTGTGATCTTCGTGCACCCCTTCAGGCTGAGGCTCCCAAGCCCAGCCAGCCCCCGCAGCTCCTCGAGCCCCTTGTTCGTAATCTGGTTGCAGTCGTGCAGCGCGAGGCCCCGCAGCCCTGTCATGCGTCCGACGGAGGCGAGCCCCCGGTTGGTCACCCAGGGGCGGCGCAGGTCGTCACCCAGGGTCAGGCCGCGCAGCCGCAGCGCGCTGTTGGCGAGGACCAACAGGTCCCTGTTGCGCACGTTGCTGCACTGCGTCAACTCCAGCAGCTGCAGGCGCGGGAACAGCGCCGCCACGGTGCGCGGCCACATGCGGCTGGGCGCGAGCGACCGCACGTTGCGGTCGCAGACAGCGCGCCAGTGGCGGCAGGCCAGGCGGAAGGCGCGGACGTGTGTGGTGGCGGCCAGGTGCGACGCCACCTGCTGGAGGACGCCCTCCACCAGCCAAGCCCAGCCATGGTTCTCGAGGCCCGACGGCGGCGCTGCCGCCGCTGCCGCCGCAGCAGACGCGGCGGCGGGGCCCTCAGTGACGGCGTCAGGGGCGGGCCACGCTGAGCAGCGCGGCGGCGGGGGCCTTGATGCCGGGCCGGCGGCCGCACGAGGAGAGCCGCTGCAGCGGCTGCTGGGGCGGGCGTCCCGAGGTGACGGCTCGGCGCTGCTGTTGCTGGAGGCTGTAGAGGCAGCGGCGGCCGTGCTGGTCGGTGGTGGCTGCGGACGCGGCGCGCGCCCGCGGTGGGCGCTGTGGCGGCCGTGCTCCCGCTGCTCGTGCTGCCTCTGCCTCGTGTCCTCCGCAAGGCTTTGTGGCGGCTGCTGCTGGTGCTGCTGATGCTCCGGCTGCTCCTCCTGCCCTAAATCACGGCCCCCTGGTTGCTGCTGGTACAGCTGCTGCAGTTGCAGCTGCTCTTTCAACCGCTGCAGTTCTTGCTTCCGTTGAAACCGCTCCCGCCGCAGGCGTCCCGGTGTCGGCTTCTGCTGCTGCTGCTGCTGTTGCTGCTGCTGCTGCTGCTCCTGCTGCTGCTGCTCCACCTGGCGTTCTTGCTGCTGCTGCTCGTGCTCGTGCTCCTGCTCCTGCTGCTGCTGCTGCTGCTGCTCCACCTGGCGTTCTTGGCGCTGCTGCTGATCCTGCTGCTGCTGCTGCTGCTGCTGCTCCACCTGGCGTTCTTGCTGCAAGTCCTGCTCCTGATGTTCCTGCTGCAGCCCTGGCTGTATCATCGCCCAAGACGGTGGTCCCAAACCGGGCTGCAGTGCACCTGCAGAACATCCAGCGGGCAGGAGGACGCCTGCGGCGGCCATGCATGGCAGTGCCAAATGCGGGGGGAGAATGCTGACGACGGGCGCGTACACCGCGGCACTCACAGCCTGCTGCGGCAGCCGCTGCTGCTGCGGCTGCTGTGGCTGCGGGCCTTGAGCCTGCACCGGCCACCACAGGCTGGAATGCGAGGAGCAAACCCCACGCTGCTGCTGCTGGTGCTGCTGGTGCTGCTGCAGCTGCTCGGCGCCGCTGCCTGATGTCCCTGCATGGTCTCCGAGCCGCAAAATGGCCGCAGCGCCAGCAGCCTGAGAGCCCGGGGCGAGCGACATAAGCGCCCCTACATGCGCTGCGCGGGCACCCGAGGACGCCCCTGCAACACCTGGGCGCAGGGCGACGCCTGATCCGCCTGCAGCTGCCTGTGAGCCAGCCGCATGGAGGCCGGCCCGAGGCTCCTGCATCATTACTGCGCTTTGCGGCGCTCTCGCTCAAACCTGGGCGCGACGCGCCGCTTCTGCATCCTGCTACGCCCACGACTTTCCTGGACGATTATCTGGCTTCACTATCAGGCCTTTCACGATCCCTCGTTGCCAGACCGGGCAGGGTCCTCAGGAACGCGGGCAGAACGAGGCTTGATGTTGTTGACTGCTGCCTCCCCTCACGTGGCACCTAGACCGCGCCACACGGATGACGATAGATTTTAATTGATTCACAGCTCGAGCGCGGCGCCAGATACACAGCCAGGTCGATGCCGCTTAGTTCACCCAGCTCGGCCCTCTCTACGGTCTGCAAAGCTCAAGCGTTCGGCTATGGATGCATTGAAAGAGCTGTGGCATCGCGCAAGCACCAGTGAACATGACGGTTTGAGACCGGCGACTGCGTGCGACGCATTGACTGCACAGGTGACCGTGCTGAACCTGGCAATGGGTGAGACCACTGCGCCTCTGTGCATGGGGGATGCAAGGAGGCGAGGAAGCCGTTTACACAAGATACATCACCCAAAGTTACGCAAGCTGGTTCATGTGACGCCCATGACCGGGCTGGTTTATATAGCATAGCAGGCGCGCAGCAGAGTCGGCTCAACTCATGGCGACACCTGCGAGTTGAGCACGAAGTACAGCAGCCCCAGCAGCACCGCCGCGCCGCCGGCCGCAGCCAGCAGGAGGCTCTTGTCCTCCTCGCCGACCACGCCGTCTCCCTCAGCGCGGCGGATGGCGGAGCTCCTCTTGGGCTGGTCCTTGGGCACGAAGCGGCTCTTGGGGCTCAGGCAGACAGGGCACCTGTGTGAAGTGCGGGGAGGGGTCAGAGGGGATGCAGGCAGGCCGGTACCGCAGGGCAGCAAGCTTGTGAGATGCGAAGCAGCACGCACGCTGTCAGAGGGCTCTTCCGGGCTGCCGCTTGTCGTCTGAGGCCCCACCCTTCCCCAGTCTCCGCTGCGGCCTTCCTCCGCAACACAGCATCCATCTCATACATCCCGGATGGCGCACTTGTAATTGCGCGGCAGCTTTTCAAAAGGTCCGTCCTGGCCGCTGTAAACCCAACCGCAGTCCAAGCAGATGTACGCGGCGCCTTTGGCAGCCTGCTTGGGGGCCGCCCTTGTGGTCTTCGCTGCGGTCTTGCCAGCAGCTTTACGCGCCGCCACTGCGACAGTCCGCTGCCGGCCAGGCGCCACCTGAGTATGTGAAGCAGGGCACAGAGGGCGAGATGACACGCTTAGCAATGGCATGGGAAGCTAGTCGTGATAACCCGCTTCTAGAGCACCAGCACAGGGACCATCGCCCTGATCCGCATGGGCAATGGCGGAGCGGCGGCAAGCTCGCTGGTGCAGCGCGCATTTGACACACTGATGTGGCCATGCTGCTGCGCCGAGGCGATGCCATGCGCAGGTAAGGGCACACTTTATGATGCCTCAATCAATTTCATCACGCCTCACACACGCACCGTCCTTGTTTGCTGCGCGAGCGCCTGCATTTCGTGTGGAAGAGTCCCGACTCGCGGTCTCGACGTCTCAATTCCGACAAACACGGTTGTCCAAGGGCTATATCAATGGTTGTAGCGGCTGATTGATTGAACTTTTATGCAATGCTATGCCGCACCAAAGCATTGGCTGCTTCACGGCGTTCTGCACAGGCATCAGTGTGCCCCCTGGGGGGCACTGTCACACCGCAATAGCACGGCAGCGCATGCATTGCGGTGCTGAGGCAGCAGCCGCACCAGCTCAGACACAGTTTGTAGCTCAAGCACACACAGCATGTTACTCGGTGATTCCAGGCTAGGCAATTGATTGTGGGCTAGGCATCATGTCAATGCACTGCCCCCGATCCACACCTCACTACATGTGTACTAGTTTGACCGTTGATGGGTGGGTACTTCATGCAGCTGAAGTCATAATGCGCCATTCGTTGGGTAAAATGTCAGCCTGGTGGTGGCTCGAAAGTCTACGGGCTGCTGCCCAGCAGAGTGTGCAAGTTCAGTGGTGCCTCATTTTCCGTTGGATCGCCCAGTCAGTAGGGCGGCGCCTTGCGCTGCAACATCCGTATTATGATGGCGCCTGCCAGGCCTTCTGCACAGTGGCAACACAATTTGGTGGGATGCGGATGTGCAAGCTGACATGCATACAGTCTCAACAAAGCCAGCCCTGCGTTCCAGCTTCACATCAGAAAACATGCAAGCCCGTGACGTGAGCGGTGAATTTGCCAGACGGGTCACAAATCAGAGCCTACACAGCGCAAACGAGCAGCGCCTCGTGCCCGGGTCACATCACGCCGCAGGGAGGGCCGCCGCGGCCGCGTACGCCGCGGGCGCCAGCTGGCCGGTGGTGTACAGTTGGAGGACGAGCCCCATGAACACGGGCAGCGTGACCAGGCTGGCGATGTATTGGTAGAACAGCAGAGAAGCGACCTGGTCGGCGCCGTTCTGCAGGAGGACAGGCGCGCATGCACAGTGATTTGTAGAAATGGGGAAACAAACAGTTGCGACTCAAGTCAATGTCATGTCGCAGGGCTGGGCATACGGTGCGGCAGAAGAGCGTGGGCAAAACCTGCCACGGCACCCCTAACAGGCAATAAGCGGCTGCTGCGCTAGAGTGCAGAAAGCATGTTCAAACAACAACGGACAAGGGATGAGGAGAGTGCGCACTCACTGCTCGCCCCCAACAGCTATCACATGTGTACCGGCACAGGCAACACGGGGGTGGAGGAGGCCAGCCCGACCACGCAACCCCTCCCATCCTACCTGCATCATTGTCGCCAGCGCGTGCACCAGCACCGCTGTCGGCGTCGCCCACACGATCATCATCACCAGCGGGATGGCGGGGTCCATGTCGGCCGGCAGCAGGCCCGCGCGGAGCGAGAGGAGCACCAGGGCCGCGCCCGCGAGGGGGTGCAGGACCAGCTTGCTGAAGCAGCTCGCGACAAGCACGCGCATTGGCACCTGCCCGTCGCCGCGCGGTGAGGCGGCGCGACGACCAGCTCAAGGTGGCAGGCCGCTTTGTGCAGTGTTTGCCGCCCAGTGTTCGCCACACCGACATCGCACAATTTCAAACAACCGAGGTGCACCTGAGTACTCGGCAGCACACGACTTGCGGCGGGCCGTGGGCACAGCTCGTCGGGCGCGCCACGCCCACCTGCGCATTGCCAGGTCCCTCTGCCAGGTTGGCGCCCAGCACCAGAAACAGGCACGGGATCATAGGCGCCCCCAGCCGGTCGATGACGTCACCCAGGAACGCCAGGGAGCCTACATTCAAAAACGAGGGGGAAACATGAGCGGTGGAGGGCACGGGTTGACCATGCGGCCCCCTTGGCATTGTGGATTGGGATGATGACGATGGTCGCGCAAGCACAAGTAGATTGATTGTAGGACAAAGGGTGAATGATGAAGCCCCCATGCTTGAGGGCCGCACTTGTGCACGCCTTTGAGGCAAGGCAGCCCTGCCCTCTCGCACCCGCAGGCCTGAAGAGCTCGTCTCGCAGCTCTGGCACTGATGCAACTGGCACTGCTAACAAACACGCAATCACTGGCGGCGTAAAGATGCCCTTGGCCAGCGCTCGCAAACGCTGCTGCTGCTGCTGCTGCTGCTGCTGCTGCAGCTGCTGCTGCTGCTGCTGCAGAGGCGTTGCTACTGCCGCCACGCTGCCGCCAACTGCCGTTGAGGCCGCCGTGCCGGTGCTGCCACCGCCCGGCAGGGCAGCCCCGACGGCGCCTGCCGCCATCACGCTCGGCCCGGCCGCGAGCGTGGCGCTCGCCAGCGATGGCGAGCTGCCTGCCAGCGCCGCGGGCTCAGCCTCAGGGCGCTGCAGCATCAGCCAACCGACCGGGAACTGGATGAAGCTGGCCACGAAAAACCCAAACATCACATAAGCCACCCCGAGGTCGCCCGCGCCCCCGTTGGGGCCGACGCCGGCGGCCTGCATGCCGGGGCTGGCCAGCAGCGCAGGCACCAGGACGAGCGGCAAGTTGCCCACGTTGCCCAGCGCCGGGATGACGACGGTCTGCGCCCGCAGCTCCTGCGGCACGCCCAGCAGCGCCACCTGCGCGCCGCCGAGCAGCAGGCCGACCAGGTGGCACGCGACCATGTTGGCGGCCAGGGGCCACAGCGCCACCGCCTGGCGGGCGTCCACCGAGGAGCCGAGCTTCGACAGCAGGAGAGCCGGGAGAAAGACGTTCATCACCAGTCCGCTCAGCAGGCGCCTGCATGAGGTGCAGGGAAGGGGTCATGCGCAGCATGCACGACAAGGAATGGGCTGCTCGACGCTCGTCACAGGCTGCATCTGCAAGGTTGAAAGCACGCCGCCCGGTCACGTCGCCACCAGCGCGTGCTGCGCCTACCTGCCCTCTGCTGGCAGCAGCCCGCGCCGCGCGCACAGCACGCCAGTGCCGCAGAGGGCGGCCACTTTGATGACCGGCGTCGCCGAGAGCGCCACCAGCTGGGAGGGCTCCAAGGCGCGAGGTATATGCAGCGCACGCGCCGCATGCGGCGACGCGGGATCGCCGTCGCTGCGTGGACATGTTTGGGGCAGCGCGGGCACCAGGCAGCGCCGCTGCCGCCAACGGTGCTGCTCCTCTGGCGGCGGGCAGCGCAGGGGCGCCGTCCCAGGGCGGCAGATGCGATATGCATGGCATGTACATCGCGATCTTTGCAAACACGTGGATATCGAAGGTTGGTGTGACATTGATCTTATGTGATCTGAGTAGATCTGCGGCAAATGAGCGTGGAGCGATGCGATTCAAATGGCGACAACGTGTATCGGGCTCAGGCGCCGCACATTGCATTGCATGGCGCTACCACGCCTGCAACAGCGGTCAACATCGTGACTGAACAATTCGTATGCGCGCCAAAAACTTGGATTTATAACGGGGATTACGGTAGTTTAGCACTACCCTCATCCACAGACGTGGACCGGTAACGCGTGCAAATATGATCCTTGTGGCAGCTGAAGGGAGTTGCGCAGCATCTTGTGGTGGGGGCCCATCGTGCGTTGACTGGTGCGTGGTGCGCAGCTGGTGCAACGCAATGTATGATATCTGCCAGCGCATCGTCTTTGAGCCCCTCTGACAGCATTATGACATGTGCATAGGTCAGGCTCAGACAGCATTGCTGACGACGCGGGGGGTTTGTTCACATCCATGGTTTGTGTGACACTTGACGATCAACCGAGCAACGTGCTGCCATTGGCCTTTGCGCCTGTTCATGACATATAATCAGGTAACAGCGAGCAGAGTCCACCACATGCTGTTATAAGCAGCAGCTGAGCTCATAGGCTCTCGCGACGCGCCTCACGCTGTGTGCGCGTGCAGCCCTGGTGCAGCCGCGGCCTAGTCGACCCACAGCACGGCTTGCACATAGCCACCTGCTGGTCACAGATGCGCTTTTGAAACGGTTGCGCCTTGATTCAAACACTCTCGCCCCTGTCGCATCACGGCGAGGCCACGCCAGCATTTCGAGCCCGCTCAAATCGATCTACAAGTAGCCAACGCACACCCAGATGGCTGAAGAAGATGGATGGGATTGGGAAGATGATGACGCACAGCCTCGGGCTACTGTCCCGCCTGCGACTGCAGCGGCTGCCCCTGCGCTCGCGCCAACAGCAGCACCAGCACCGGCCGCTGCGCCCGATTTGCAGCCGAATGTGCAGAACAAGGGGGCTCCTCAGCCGTTCAAACCCGCACCCCAGGCATCCCATGCATCACAGCAGCAGGACCAGCAGCAAAGCTCTCTGAGTCAGCAGCAGGGACTGCCAGCGGGCGAGGCGCCTGCTCAAGCTCAGCTAGCGCCACTGCGGCAGGACCCCATGGCGCAGGAGTCGCAGCAGCAGCGGCAGCAGCAGCAGCAGCAGCAGCAGCAGCAGCAGCAGCAGCCTCCTGCGCCTATGGTGCAATCGACGACCTCGGCCGGGGCCGCCAGCGGCGCTGCCGGCTGGGGCCTGGGCAGCGGCTGGGGCCTGGGCAGCGGCCTCGCCTCGATCGGCAGCAAGCTGCACAGCGCCGCGCTCGCCGCCGCCAAGGAGGCCAGGGAGGTCGCAGGGACGCTGCAGCAGGGGCTGGCGGAGGCCACGGCGGACGGCGAGTCCGAGGCCGAGCGGCTGTCGCGCTATCAGGCGCCCCGCGAGGACGGCGGGGACCCAGGGGCGGGGGCGGCGCCGGGCAGCGCCGCGGCGGCGGCGGCGGCGGCGGCGCCGGGCGCCGTGCGGGCGGGGCGAGGGCCTGTCGTCATGGCCAAGCGCGAGGACGACGAGGGCGGTGCAGCCGGCAACGGCGAAGCAGGCGGGGATGACGACCGCAGCATCACTGCTGGACTGCGGGTGGGGGAGCCGGCGAGTGTTGTTATGCACGGAAACGTGGCGTGCTGCTTTTGCCGTGTGGCGTGAAGGGTGTTTGTGTGTGTGTGTGTGTGAGTGTGTGTGTGTGTGTGTGTGTGTGTGTGTGTGTGTGTGTGTGTGCGCGCGCGTATGTATGGGTGGGTGGCGGGATGGTGCACAAAATGGCCTGTGTGTGTGCACATGCAAACTTGCATAAGAGCCCTCCGGTTGCACGCTCGCGTTTTGGTTGGCAGGGTTGAAACACGTGAGCGAATTTAGGTCCAAATCAAGCCGCTCAGCACCGCTGCGCGCTTCCTGCAGGCAATTGATGACAGTATGGAGCAGCTCGCAGCAGGCGCGGCAAAGGCGCTCGGCAGCCTGTGGGGTGGCATCGGCTCGGTGGCGAAGCAAGTCACCACACAGGCGAGTTTCCTGCCTGGGAGGTTTTCTGGGTCCAAGGGGCGCCACGTCACATTCGCGTCGCACGCTTTGTTGTCATAGGCAGAGTTGATGGTTTCGTGTGTGCACAGCTGCGCTCTGCAGGGCCCGCCTTTCGAGGGACTAGGTGCTGGCCTGCACTCTAAACGGTTCGCAGCCGCAGTGGTCAATGACGCCAATTTCTCGCTCACCCACCCCACCGGACCCCCGGACCCCACTGTGCCAGGTGGAGTCCGCGACCATGGGCCTGGCGCAGGATATGCATGGCGGCGCGGGGACGGTCAAGGCGCTTCGGAGCGCCGCCGAGCAGCTCGGGCAGACACTCGAGAGGGGCCTGGAGGTGCGTCGCCGCGTGCACGTGCATGTGCTGGTGGTGTTTGCTGTTGTATCGTGTTGCCAGTGGGACAGCCAGCTGCAGGGAGCGCCTGTCATGCGCTCGATGCGCCGCATGCATGCATGCATGCATGTGCAATGCAGACGCTTGGACGGCATTCCTTCTCAAGCTCATTCATGACCCCAGGGCAGCCAGCCAGGGCCCCGCCTGGCCCCCGCGTACCTCTGAACGCTCGCGCCACTGCGCGCCGCGCGCGCCGCGCCGCAGACCGTCGGCCGCAACGTGCTTGGCGCCCTCGAGCCCCTCGCCGCCCCCGGCGCCGGCGCCGCCACGCCCGCCGCGCTCGGCGGCGCCGCGGAGGGCGGCTTTGCGCGGCGCTTCGACCTGTTTGGGGGCGCTGAGGCGCTGGACGAGCTCGCTGACCTCAGCAACCAGTGCTCACGCGTCCTGAACCGCGCGCGCGCGACGCTCGGGCCGGAAAAGACCGCGCACATGGACGCGACCATATCGCGGCTGGCTCCGCTGTTCGACCTAGGGGTGGGCGCGGAGG